ACTTGGTTGGTCTATTGTAGCAAACGCTCTGCACGGTTTGGAAGGATAGCTCATTCATTCGACCCGGTGCGACCTGAAAACTATGCCTATTCAAATTAGCCATCTGAGCAGGTTCGTGGATTGACACACGCAGTCCATAGGCCTGGTTGAATAGACCAAATAGGAAAGCCTGGCGATCCTTCTTACCGTAGTTTTCGTCAGGACCCATCCATAACACTAAACCCAATTCTTTAATGTGCTGAGAATACTCCTTCACGATTTCCACACTGAAGCAGTTAAAGAATTTCGGATTAGATTGTCGTCTACTTTGCAGTGCTCAGTCCTCGCAGCCAGGTCCTGTGACAGCCCACTTGATGCTGTACCGTAATAGACAGAGAGCAATCAGATCCTTTGAGCTATGTCAAAGCTCCAGATGCGATGGCCATGGAAGGCTTTGGTAGTAGAGAGGAAGGGTATCGTAGACAATTGCCTGTCTTAGAAACTCCAGCAGAAGATCACGATTAAGGAGACGTACACTCTCATTGCTCATCTTCGGAATCTCCACCGATTGAGCTAGCAGCTCGGCTGCTCGCTGACGAATGAGTTGGTTAAAGCGGGTGGGGGAGATGAGAGATTTGTTGCCCCATAGCTCGTAGGCACGTGCTGAGAAGGGCTGATGGATGCAAAATGTAACGGTGGGAAAGGTAATGGGCGCATCCATATCGTTGTAGGTTTGAATATTCACCACATACTCCATATACTCATACACCAACTTCATAATGGAAATGTGGAGGAAGAGGGCGATGAAACACAGATACGTGGCCCACATAAAGCGAATTATTTGGTTCTCAGCTCGTATGATTCGGCTGCAGCCTCGGATGGATGAAGGTGGACTCGAGCAAAAAAGGGCAATTTGCTTTTGCTTGGTTAAACCACCTCTCACCCTCATTGTTCGCAGTGCTCCTCAATTTTGCTTTTGATTTTCTTCTTGTCATGCTTCTCACGCACAACCTTTGATATTCTGTCCTAGAGAATAACAGGAACAGTTGCGCCGATTAACGGGTTATAAGGTAAATACTGAGACAAGTGAGACTTAACTGTTGCACAACTCAGAAAGTCTGTGCCCCTAATGTTTTGTTATCGACAAAATTTTTGACAGGATGACACTTGGTGAGTAGTTATTTGTTCTTTTGCGTTAAACTCCTTTCAAAATGGAATGAAGCTGACTGTTAACAAGTGGTAGAAAGTGATAACGCATCGTAGTGCAAGAAACCGCAATAATGAGGTGTAGTTTTGTTACGAATTCTGTATATTTATTTTAAAAGAGCTTTTTCAGTAGAACAAACATGGAAAAACAGCTTCTGAACATTACGCGTTGAATTGCACGACCAGAAATGCATAAAGGTTATTAGATACGTACATCTAAGACATAAAATCCTTTTGGCATTTAAAAGGTGTTTTTGGTCCACCTTAGGGAAGAAAACAGTCTGATTCTGCAACTGCAGTTAACCGACTCCGCAATTTAGAAACTATGCATGAGTAACGCAGGTGAGTATTAGACTGCATTAGG